TGAAGCTGCCATTTGCTCTCTTAAGCAGGCAGTCAGCGCTGAAGTCTGCATTGTTTGATCGTAATTAACATTCCCATGTTTGTCATAATTTGGTGTGTTCAACTAAATGAAAACTACCATAATAAACTAGAGCAAGGAGAATGACTTAAGAAATAAAATGTTGTTGACAGCCATCTGTTGGTACGTTAGCAAGTACGATGACCGGAGTATAGATTTGAAAACATTGCCATGTTTCTTAAGCAGAAAAAAAAAGTAATCTCCTTTTTGCAATGTCTGCAACAGATTCCAGTTCTCATTGAGTAGTACGTAGTGATAATTTTGCTACCTCTGCTTTGCCATGCATTGGGATGTGCAGAGGTTTGCAGTCTCTAGGCCACAGGTGCTTGTCCTGGCAAGATTGCTGAAGCGCTGATTTGCCGACTGGTGTTGCCTGGGGCAGTGTGTATGTTTCTACAAAACTGTGGGAAACGTAGTTGTATGTTATATTAGTGCATGTAAGGCAGCCATTTCTTGGTGGTGTATAAGTTGCAACAAGAAGCAAGCTTAAGAATGTTTTTGCTTTTCTATTGTTGTGAGCCAGAGCAAGGTTGGTAAGAAATGAATTATGTCCGTGATAGAGAAAGGGCTTGGGTCTAAGGAAAAAAGAAATATATTTGGATTGTTCTTTTTTTCTGTGCTTTAAATTACATCTGCATTTGTTTTTGTTCAGATAACCCCTAGTGAAAGTCATGGCTTGTTATATATGTTAAATGTTTTCTGCTTGTCATCTTTTTGCATGACTTGGCTAATTTATGAAAAGCAAATGCATTTAGATCTCTGCTCTGTCAACTGACTGCTTTCTAGAAATAAAATCAAGCAAACAAACAGAACTGCAGACTACAATGGCAAAACCACTAAAAGATCAGGTTTTCGGAAGGAAGATCTGACCAGTGGCTTTTCAGGGATGTAGTATATGCTGCCAAAACCTGCATCCTGGTCGATCAGCTACAAAAAGGAGTTAATTTTGAAAATAAGAGGAGTGGGAAAAATTCCTTCCTTCCTTCCTTCCTCCTCTTAGAAAGGTTCAGTTTAGAACAACAAATACAATTCTGTGGAAAATCTTCCAGCCTTGACTTTGTTTCAGGAATGGAGGTTTTACAGCTATTTGTTGTATCTCACACTAGAGTTTATGAGCAATCCTTTAAGTTACAGAGGTACAAAACCCCCAAATACAATACCTATATTAATACTGGTATTGCGTGCTCCCCTTGTTTAGAGAGGGGCTCATAAGCGCACTTACCTTCTTGTGATTTTTCCATTGAGTTCAGCATCTGCTTTTTAAGTCACGAATGTAATCCATTCGGGATTGGGATGGTGGGACTTGAAATGGAGTCCAGAGAGATGAATCTGAAACGTCTTTTGGGTTTTAGGTTCAGTGAAGCTTTAGGGATTTAATGGGTGAGGGTTTGGGCCTCTATTGTGTGGTTATATACACAGGACAGCTGAGACTTGGCCAAAAACTCCTGCTTTGCATTGAATTTAATTCCATAATGCTAATTATTGAGATTATAGTGTTTTCATTGATGATCGGTCTTTAGAGATGATGTATCAAATTGTACTCATTGCAGAAGTGTGAAATACTGTAGCTTTAGCTTTAATAATGTTTTTTTCCCAGATACTAGTAATTATGGAAGGATTCTGTTATATTGCTTGTGTCTTTTTTTTTAATGGGTGAAATACTTGGAAAGAGAATGAATAAAAGGAGAATTTAAAGAATGAATAGTTTTTGCTAGGCATGTTGCTCACAGCGAAGAGCAGACTAATTCATTTTCCTAATAAGGCTGTGCTGGAAGTTGGAATGTTTTGAATTACATTAAATGTCATGAAAGTATTCATCGGAGAGGAACGGCTTGTGGTATGTTTAGAGAGCAAATTTGATCATGTTTGGTCAAAATGAACTGTTTACACAGGCTAAATATAGCTTTTTTTTTCTGAAAGAATAAACGACTTTGATGTAGAAGCCTGTGCAAAAACTTTGTGCACTTTCATTTTCAGTATTAGGCTGTCAGTAAGTGATGGTGGCTGCTTCTATTTTTGTTGTCTATAATAATTTGTATGAAGCTCGAAACTATAACCATTTGCCAAGGTCTTTCGTGTTAGTTGTTTATAATAAGCATTTATACCGAGCTTTTATGTCTTTGCTTTGTTTGTATGTTATTGAAAATGTTGCATAAACTAATATACTGAACTGCTCGTTTTAAATCATTCAGAAAATATCCTGCTTCAAGCCACCCTGCTTTTCTAGTAAATAGTAACAGGGCAAGTGTGTCATCTCATTTTGAAACCCTTTATCATCAGTTATTCATACATTCAACGTGACCAAACCAGCATGAAATCCTAATGTGTTTAATTGCTAGGTGGCAAGCAAAGTGCTAACAGCTAAGAAAATGTACAAGATTCTGCAGTTTAATTTTTTTTTTTTTGCTATGCAATTTGGTAGTATCTATCAAAATCCTAAAGGAAGTACCCTGAAGGAAGTATTTTCTTAAATGTATGTGGTGGACATGTTTTGCTTTTCAGCTTGAAGTGTGCATTTCCTTTTGTACTGTCTTGTCTAACCACCGTGCATTTTTCACATTCAGATCTTGGTGGCTCAGTTTGCTGGGTGAGCATTTTCTTTATATGATACGGGATAAATCCCAGATTTTAGGCTGAATATGGTCTGCAGTCAACAAGGCCAAGTTAAACTGTTTGAAGTATGTCTGGGACACACAAATTTATGTCCTTGTTTCAAGTATGTTTGGGGGAAATAAAGTAATGTTGTGCTGTCTGACTCCAATGTTAAAAGAACATTGGGAACATTTCAGACCAAGCTTTTTTTTTTCACCCTTTTTTTCTTTTTGTATGATATTTTTGAAGATGAATTTTGAAGAGTATGTCTTCATCTGGAAATAGTGGTTTGATATCATTTTTGCTCAGTGTTGTATTGATGAATGCAGAGCAAATTCATCCATTGCAAACTCAAATTTGATTATTTTGTGTAAAAAAAAAAAAAAAAAAGTATGTTCCTTTTATGAGACTGGAACTTCAAAGTCCAGCATTAGCAACGAGAAGTTTTTTTTTCTCAAGCATGAAATATGGTAGTTGACTTGAATAATGAATATCTTTCTAATTCTTACTGTTAGATCAGCTTGATAAATACACAAAACATTCCAAGTTACTTTATTAAAAAACATATACCTAAGATATGGAGCGAGATGCATGTTTCCTTCTAACTCTGGTCTTAAAAAAGAAAGAAAAGTTTCCATATGTGTTGGCATTTTTTTTTTCTTTCTTGTTGCCTTTGTAGCTGCAAATTGACAACTCTGCAATTAGGAGTGATTAATGGTGCACCCCAGCGCTTTGGAGGGCTGGAGGTCAGTCTTCTCACAGGCTGCACACTCTGTGAGAAAGGGGAGAACGGACCTGTTCCTCAGAGCGGACAAAACCCTCTCTCTGCTGATGTGGACATAATGTGTGTCAGCAGCGATGCACAAATGGTGAAGGCAAAGTGCAGAAGATGGTCTTTTCATGTGGTGTTTGTTGTGATGGGGTTTTTTTTCCTTTTTTTCTTCTGCCAACATAACGTGGATTATATGCGTCTCCCTTTTTGTAAGTTAGGTACTGAACCTGCAGCAGGATTGCTATTGCTGGAATCTGATGAGCCCTGAGGGCCAAATGGCTTTGAGGGAAGGAGTAAACATTTTGAACTTAATTAGTAAAAAAAAAAAAGAAGGGGGGGGGGAGAAAAAGAGGGAAAAAAAGAAGATAAAAAAGAAGGGAGTTGTTAAATGGACCAAGTGTGCCTAATTCAAATCTAGCTCTCCATGTTTTCCTGGTAGAAATAGAAAAGCTGGTTTATACAATAGAGGTGTTTTAAACTGTAGCCTCTGTTAGCTGATCTCCAATTAAATGAACCTTTTTGCCTCTCCAGCAAATTGTTTTGGAAATGAGAATCCAGCTTCAGTTCTTCAAAACCCTATTGAGAAGATTTGTCGGAAGTCGGGGTTGTGTGATTTCAGGCAGGATATGATTGCTGGTTCTGGGATCATTAAGGGTGCCAGCTTTTCTGAGCAGCTACCAAATATAGCCAGAAATGTTTTGAAACGTGGCAGGAAGCCACTTCTCTACTGAAACAGCATGAAAAGACTCAAGTGTATCAGCAGCAATGTTTACAGACAAAATGTTTGCTGGATTTTTTTTTTTTTTTTTTAATTTTGTGTATGTGTATTTTTGCATATAAGTATATGCAAATCTGAAAAAAACAATCCAGTGAGATGCCTTTACCTGCAACATGTTGCCAGTTCACTTCAGGTATAACAAAATCTGTCAATTCTTTATCTTCTTCATCCTTTCCATTGCGATACTTCCTTTCCTTCCCACCACCCCATAGTAGTTTCAATGCACCCATTGTTTGGAAGAATTTTTTTTGCCATCTACTGTGGAGTTCAAGTGACATTAACCTTACCTTTGAAGACCAAAGACTGTGCAAAAAGTTTCTGTATCATTTAACTTGCTGAGTCCTTCAGAAGGATTTTTGTTGTTGTTGTTGTTCTAAAAGGAAGCTTTCTCTTTTAAGCCTGAATAAAGGTTATGTGCTGTTTAAAGTGCAATTTATCTGACCAGAGCTTTTGAGTTACGTGACAGTTTCTTATGAAAGGATGGAAAACAATAAGCAAATTGGAACTGAAGTCTCTTAACTGGTGATATGGTGTTATGAATTTAAAAATCAAATAGTACTTGATGATAGATGCTAGAGCTCCTAATGTTGTACCTGGATAAATTAATCCAGTTTGGTTTTGCCTTTTCCTTGTATTAACAATGTTGTAGGTTTAACTTGAATGTTTCTTGTTTCCTTTAGAGGAAACAAAATGAAATATTCTATATATCTGTGGGTGGACGTGGTGAGTTGGAAGAGGGAAATGCTTAAACATTAAAGAACTTGGTTTTTTATGATTATGTGTATGTTTTTCCTCTTCCAGAGTGGCTTCTGTACCAAAACCCGATCTTGTTCATGTACCAAAGGTATGTCCATCACCACAACCAAGAAATGTAGCATGTGGCGCTGTTACCCATCTGTCAAACCCTGTTGTTGATAAGCACTGTCATTCAAACTTTCCTTTCAATATAACATGCTTGATTTCCATGTGTTACATTAAGAGTATTGCAGCATTTGAATCTTTGAATGATTTCCCCTGCCCCTAAAAAAGAATTGAGAGACCTGGCAAATGATTGTTCACAAAAAAATGTGAATAAACGTTATCTTCCAACTCTCAAAACATTTTTTTAGAAAGATATAGTTGAAGTTTTTCCTCTGTCCCTAAGAGAGAAACAGCAGTACAGTTTGTTGGCGGTGGGGGCACTGAAATCTTCCTTTGTATTTGAAAACAGCTTATCTAAATATTAGAGTTTCAGAGAACAATTCCCCTCAATTTCCTTAGAGCCCTGGGGAAGAATTTGTTCTCGAGTTCTTCTAATGTTATGTTCTCAAGCAACAGTTTCAACCCCCCCTTTTTGATAAGAAGGCTGTTTGCAAACCTGAAAATGCTTACAAGTGGCCTCTCCAGTAGACATAAATAATGCGTAGTATATTACTGTTCTGCTGACCGTGATTTGAAAGGCCACAGTTTGGGAACCACCATGTTAAAACATACCTCCCGGGGAGGGGGGAATCACATTTTTTGGAGTGTTTTGATCTGACAAGGGTATATGAAGATGTTGGGGCACATCAACGGAGTGCAACTGGAAAAGCTCACCGAGTCCTGAAGCACTGGCCTCTAATAAATGAGCTCCAGGGCTCTGGTTCTGCTCTTAAGGGCCGTATCAACAGATCAATATATACAGTATGTGTGTACACATGCACATGCTGTTTGTGTATGGGGAATGTGCATATCTTGAATTGGGTTTGAGAGGTGGAATGTGGATTTTTATAAAAAACACTAATTTTTTCCACATGAGTTACCCGGTGGGTTTTGCAATAGAGTGGTTCTTCAGTTTGTCTTGAATTTGATTTGTGGGGTGTCTGTTTTGGATACGATGAGAGGAGTTAGCATCGTGGGATTTCATATTGATCATGCATGCTTGGATCATTCCCTTTCCTAAAACGCATGGCTTGTTTTTTCCCATACATTTCCTGGCTGCAGTCTCGGTAAAGCTTGCTTCTGTGCTTCTTGGTTTCACGCTAGGTGGGTTATCTCCCCTGAGAGCAACGAAAATACCTTCTGAGGAATGTGCATGCGTTTGGCGTGTTTTTGTGTGTTTCTTTTTTGTTTTTCATCTCGCATAGGGAGAACCTACCGAAGTAGTTAAGCCTGTGCCCATTGCCTCTGCTGTTGCACCCAAAGTCACTGCCACGGCGAGCGTGGCTTACAATAAGACACCGAGGCCGTTTGGAGCCGTAACCACCTCCAAAGTCACCTCCATCCCATCACCGTCCTCCGCCTTCACCCCAGCCCAGGCGGCGGCCCTGTCCCCTGCGGCTGCCGCCCCGGCCCCGTTTGCTGCGCCTGGACTGCATGTTAACGCCAAGCCTAACGCTGAGCAGCGGTCACCTGCGCCGAGCGCTGCTAAACCTGCAGTTAATGTCCCACGGCAGCCCGCCGCGCACAATGCCGCCCCAAGCGCCTCTGCCGGCGACGGCGCCCAGGATGTAGCTGAGGGGCTGCGACGAGGATTCAGAGAAAACCAGGGGGAGAGTAAACAGCAAAATGGGTAGGTGGGATTTTTTTTTTTTTGCTGTGAGGGTCTTTCCTCGCAGGAAAAAAGCTGGGCTTGTTTAAGGGCTAAGTAAAACACAGCTTGGAGGGGTCGTTTAATCCTCAGAAGTGAATCTCTGAGGAAGGACTTGCATCTTAAAAAGGATGCTTCGAAGGGCCAAGCCAGACTTTCAGTGATGATTTTTCTCAGGAGTGACATTATATCAGTTTATAATCAGTTTTTGTCACAGCTAAATTGAATCGGACTACTAAATGCTTTACACAATGGGTTGTATCACGATGTGTTCTGGACCTTACAACAAGCCTGGTATTAATTTCGATGTCCGTGTCTCACTGTGTATTTTGACTCCCAATACGGTGACCGAAAGCAGCAGGCACTCAAAAATGCAGAGTGGTCTGTCAAGAAGGGTTTGGTGGGTGCTGTGATGGCGGGGAATGAGATGCTCTGAAAGACCAGCTGTGGCCCCGGCAGGACCGGTGGAGAAAGGTCCCAGAAGGGACAAATGTCGCATTACTTCTCTGCACAACACACGAGAAACTTTCAGATGCATTCAAGGAAGCTGGCAGGGTTCAGCCGATTTTTTGCAGCGTTATAATGTAAATATCTCAACTTTAAATGTTACGTTTACCCTAAAAAAGCAACACAGATTTAAAATTTGAGTCACGTTCGTATTCAAATAATTGTTTATGTTAAAGTGGGTGTCGGAGACTTAACATTTAAGGGATTGTAAGGCTGTATAAAAGGCTTATACTATATCTGGTGTAGCATCTAGACTAGTAAACAATAGATTAGTAAATTAAGCTGAGCCCAGCAGCAGTCCTGGGTGCTCTGACCTGCACCGCTGCCCTGTTTTGGCGGCACGCTTTTGGCCAGGGCCGCCTTGGGCTCTCCCAGAAATTCCTGGGCAGGGCTCGGGAACTGCGGCGCCCCAGGGACCGGTTCCCAGTGGCTGCTGTGCCGTGGGGAGAGGAGGAGGCTGAGCGCAAGCGGTCCCATGGCAGTTGGCCTCCGTGCTCAGCAGCAGTGTCTGGCAGATTGAATTAATTAATAAAAAGGGCAGGAGGGGAACTGTAGGTTTCTCTTCAATCTTAAGAACGTAAAACCTGTGCTTAAAACCTAAAAGCTGTGGTTACTATTTCCCATCCCTCAAAGGAAAGGGGCTGGAGGAATAGGCCTAGTGCCTCTCTCCTCTGATGTTCTCTCAGTATATAAAGTATATGAAGAACGCTACAGAAAGGTAAACATCCACGTCAACTAAAATACAGAATAAATTGCAGTTTCAGTTGAGCTTCTCATGGGGGGAAGAAAACTTCTTTAGGTACCTATTCTCCCCTTATATTGCAGTATGAATATTTTCCATATGAGGACTCCTATAATGCAGTCCGTATGCATTTTATGTCACGCTGTTGTCATGGTAACTTCCAGCCCTTTCTTAAACAGCTGATGGCAGGAGTCCACACCGCATAAAAGCAGGATGAAATTGGGAGATCCCAGGGACTTGCTCAGTGCTGGTAGACTTGTTGAATACACTTTTTGACAAACTGTCTCTATCTTTCCAGGAATGCTGTTTTAGCAAATACTGTGTACGGAGTACTCAAAAGCAGCAATTAGTAGTGAAAAAGATGAACAATAGCAACAAAATTACGTCTCCTGGAAGGAAGCTGCTGCAGGTGTAGAGTAAGCACTTGACAATCAAGATAGGATGACTGGGCGAGTGCCGTTAAGTGCCTTGCCTTACCGTTACAGGATGAATAATACCGACTGAAGAGTATCACAGCTGACAGGTGAAGAAATCCCTGTCTCGCTGCCAACCTTGCAGATCTAGTTTGGGAAAGCTTAAAAACGTTTAGAGCTGTAAAAAAACTACTTTATTTTGCCATCTTTCTTACAATAGTGTGTTTAGGCTGTCTAACTGTCTTGCAGTCCTAAGGTAGAAAGCAAAAACAAGCAAACAAAACCCCCTAAAGTGATTATATCGGTTTGTCGCTACACTACTTACTTAGTTTTACTTAAAAAAAATTACATTTCTACAATGATGCTTAACTATCTCCCCATTTAAAATGGAATCAATGACATTTATGAAATATCAGAAACATTGAAGTTTAGAATAATTAATCAGTCTGAAATAAATTCCATTTTGCTCCTGTGTTTTGTAGTATTCATTTTTCTTAAAAATAGTAAAAAAAAAGAAGAAAAAGCAACTTTTATCTTGTTCATAAATAGCATTGCTGAGCAAATGCAGTTCTTCAGACATGCACCTTGTTGTACTCGGATTTTCCTCCCTTCCTCTGGCTCCCCTCAAACCACATTCAGGTTATAAACTATTTGCCTTTACTTCAGGATGGGGAAGGAAGTTTTGTTTCCCTTGTTTAGTCCTGGCTTAGAAAGAAAGCAATTTGCCTTCACTAGGCGGCGTGCAATTACGCTTTTATCAACACCTTCTTGCCAACTTTTGCATGAAAACGTGCCTGCTGCTTAAAACAGGTAAGATGTCCACAGACTTCACTCAGTTTAAGCTCAGCTGGGCTAAATTTTTCCATTGTAGCTTCTGTTGGTGATTGTAAGTTTGACTTACATGATATACGGCTTTACCAGAGCTTGGATTTGGAAACTCCTGTAATATTTCAAGAAGCCAAGAATGTATTAACACATCAAATACTTTTTTTTCCCTTGCAGATAACAACAGTGACAAAGTTAGTATCAACAGCACTGGAGCTGAATTATGGTCATTTTTCCTGTTGGAATAACCAGCATGTATTCTTGTTTTGCAAAATTATAGCTCTTAGAGAGTTTTATATTTAAATTTTGCAAAACAGCTTCAGCTTTTCTTAGTAACTTCTTAGTGTAGTAGATGGTTTTGTCAGCATTGGACATGATGTGATCTTGCTTTTCATTGTGTTAAATTTTGCAGCTTTGTTTTTTTCCACAAAACATGTGTGGAGTTTGTGTGTATTGATAAATTCTTGGTGCACCTCTGGCTAATTGGTGTTAGTAATACTAGTGAATGGTGAAATACAGTACAAAAGCAAAAAATGGTTTGAGGACTATGGAACGAAGGGCCAGATATTGAAATAATACAACAAAAATAAGAGCAACATCCATATACTGTGATTTGTACAAGTTAGGGATGATAAATATGATTGAGGTTTTATTGGCTTCTCTTTTCTCCCCTTGCCTCAAGGCTGAGTTAAGGGAGAGCCAGTCTCATTGGATTTTCCTTTGTCTCTGGCACCACCTTGTTGCCTCAATGAGTCATTACCAGTAGACTCTTGAGCCCTAAAAAAGCGACCAGTAGGATCCGCAACACGAGAAGTCAGCAGGATATTTTGTTTATAATACCACTTTCAACAAATGTGAAAGACTACTTATTTCATTGTGGTAGTTGCTAGAATGCAGTCAACTGCATGTAAATAATTACATTTCCATGGAGTTCTACACCTTTAATTACTGCTTTAATTTTCAGATTTTATTTTTGCTATTAACTGTTTTGATGCTTTAGTTCATTTTTCTCTGTAATTCTTGTGCTCCATCCTGGAAATACCACTGTTTTTGTTTCTGTACCCTGCCCTCTTTTAGTAACCTTGATAGGTATGTGTAATTCACTAACACTGTGTGTCAGTAAATTCAGTCTTTTGCTATAATTTTGTGTGATACCTTTCACATCAGTCTTTTAAGTATTCTTTTAAGCTGAAGTATTTACTAATGCATTCCACTCAGTGGGCCTAATTCTTACTTGTTGACAATTAATAATTTATATCATTCTCATTCATATTTTCCACCTTTCCTTACCAGAAACATTTGGGACATTAAAAATACAGTGGGGATGTAGTGGCAAAAGTGGAAGTGACTTTTAAAGGGATTTTTCTGTAGAATCGTTGTGTCTTAGGAGCTAGTTTTGCACAGTTAATCTCCTGTAAATTATGTAAAAATACATGTATGTTTAAAGGGTCTTGAAGATTAACGCTTTGGGATAATGAATGTAGACTTTAGGAGTAATATGCACGCATGAATCTTCTATTGTCTTTTCCTAAAATGATTAGTGTCGTTACATGTTCTTTATATCAGTTACTGAAAGCAAAGTTTTAAACCCCTATATTCTTGCAAGTCTGCTAGCACAGGGATTGATAACAGCATGTAGGCTACTGTGGGGAAAATTTCCCCATTTCTTTGGCTTTCAGAGAGCGTATCAAGCATCAATGTCTTCACATTATGTTCCAGAACATCGCTACCTGTGCTTTCAAATGGCCTGGTTCTGATCCAGGCTTTGCCAACTGAAAAAGACTTGGTGTGTACTGGGTGGCCCTTGTGCACAGCTGGTGCTTTGCCTCTTGTGAACAAAGGGGAAAATTTGTCTGGGGCACCTGATGTGAACTAAGTAGACTACCCTGCTTTACCAAAACAAATATAATCGCCCTCTTATTCCTGTAAGGAAACTGCTGTGAGTTTAATTTAAGTTTAAGTATGGGGGTTCCGTGCTGTGGTTTTGGTAGTAGAATGAGACTATCACCATTAATTGGATTTCAGTGCCCTTTCCCACAAGACTAATTCAATAGAATAATTAGCTGCACTTCTGTTTCAGCTTTCTGACTTTTATTTCTTGTTTTCTTTTTCTCCTTTTCCTGTTTATGCTGGGAAACCTTTCTCTTGCTGTCTTACTCTGTCATCTCCAAGGAAAAACCCACCCAAACGGTAAAGGTTTAAACATGTAAATGTCTTGATAATACTGTCTTTTTACTGTTTCAAATGTTCCAGCTGTGAAACAAGGAAAAATATTTCAGTTGGGTTAGAGTGATTATAAAGCTGTGTTTGATTCACAGAACTGAATCTGTGTTCAGGGGTGCCTGTAGAACTCACTGCTGCACATCCACGTACAAATGCAGCAGCTGCCTTTAAACGCTGTGAAAAGTCTTTGTAGCTACCCCAGCCCAGGTGGTCTCTGAAGCTTTTTGCTCACTGCTCTTTCCTCTCCTTGATGCAGCCCCCCGCGGAAGCACATTGTGGATACCTATACAGAGTTTTACCACACACCCACTCACAGCGATGCCAGCAAGAAGCGACTGATCGAAGACACCGAAGACTGGCATCCCCGGACAGGCACCACCCAGTCCCGCTCTTTCCGCATTCTTGCCCAAATCACTGGCACTGATCACAGTGAGTAGTTTAAGCAAAATAAAAGTAATGTTCTTGGACAGATAGGTGTTTTTAAAAGCTGGGGCGGGGGGAAGTAGTAAAAGGATTCAGTCACATCACTTGCATTTCCCCTCTTGGATAATCAATCCAGTAGGCAGAATTTTGGTGAGCTCTTTAAAAGAAAAAAGTTTGAGAAGACTATAGTAGGAAAATTATTTTTGTAAAACTCCTGCAATTGCTAAATATCTCAGGACATATAAATGACCGGACATTAGTCCTGACTGAGTATGAATATTTTAAGATTTAGATAAATCTTAAAATTTCCATTTCTACTTCCAAAGATGTTGGCAGATATCTATTTGTTGTTTCTTTCCCCTCTTGTATCACCAAAATGGCGAAATTCCTGTTCAAATTTAATGCTCCAGAAAAAATAAGGTGTTTTCAGGCATGTAGAAAATCTTTGACAGTCATACAAAGGTATGTGATCTGCAATGATTTAACCCATCAGAAGCATAAATCCATAGTTCGTCAGTTTATTCCCAGGTCATGTTTCCACCCTCTGCTTATGTTATGGTGTGATTACATGTACTGCAGACTGGAACAGATGATGCGGAGAAGGTCATTCCCAGTCATATAATTTTATGGTAAAACTTCAATTTCATATTATGCTGCCAGTTATAATTCATTGGCTGAGATCTGTAATGTTGTGTAAAAGCCATCAGGAGTGTCATCAGGAGATTTGAGCTCAGTCATGTTCAGACTGAGGCAGCTAATGTAGAGGTGATTATTTCATTCTTTTGCTTTTCCTAGCTAGTGCTACAATAAAGAAGGCAGTGAGGAAATTGGACCCCCTCCCTGGGGGCAGATTTGATTAAATCAACTATTGATTCTCTGGCAGAATTACTCTAGAAGCCATTGATAACATCTCCCCAAATAAGGATTATTGTCCATGTATGATAAATATTCTGAACTTGGACGTTTACCTGATTGTTTTGTGGTCCTGCATTGCGCTAGTCTATTAATGGATCATTGTCTATCTTTGGATTCTCTTCATTAATCCGTGTTAGGGCAGAATATGAGACCTGAATGTCAAATAACATGTCATCCAGTTACATGGTGTCGACATGAATTAATCATGTTGACAAATACTGTAAGAAAGTGGCTGCAACTAGATTTGCCAAACTTAAAATCAGGGCTGGGAATTTACATTATCCCGTGTGCAGTCCCCTAGCACCTTGATGGGTCACAGCCTGGCTGCAAACAGATGCTTGGATTATCCCCTGATATAAACCCACTGGATATTCATCCAAAAGAAATGCCTCCCAACCTCCATTCATCTTCCCCTTCTCAACTCACCTTTCTCAATGCCAGTGTGGAGAGTGGGCCAAGGGAAAGGGCAGAGACCAGCAGAACCACCTTTTAGCAATCCTGCTGGCAAAGGGGCTCTTGAAGTTTATAGACATATCCCATTTCCATTGGGGCGTATTTAGAATTGTAGGACTCCTAACAAGCCTTGTTGTAATTTCTTGCTGTGGTGAATGCGTTGGCACAGGGGAGAATCTCAGTGTACAGTGGTACAGTGCCTTTAGTGCCTTAGAAAATAAAAATTTTCTGGTTTCTTGCAGTGAAAGAGCCAGAACATGAAGCTGCAAAGAAGACTAAGTGAGTTGATGTTTTACATTATTACTTTAATACTTCGCATGTCTTAATTTTTAACTGATAGTGTTTGGTGCATTTGTGTGACATCTGGGTGTTTTTAAAACGTTGCTTCTTTTTTTGCCTTTTACTTCAGCATGTAAAAATCAAGATCTCTTTTGCGTAGTCAGACCTTTCTAAATCTGTTGGTGCAGTCCAGTATTAATGTTTGTGCAGGAGTTTGAGATTTTCCATAAACTTGGACTGATTTCGTTTTCTGTACGAGGTCAGCTTGTTGACGTGTTTTCCTTTTCCTAAATCTAACCAGGCATTTTTGATTTGCAAGCGCGGATCAGATTGAAAGACATAGCTGGAAAGTATTACTGTTCTGGACTGTGAACGAGGGTCAGCTGTCTCCTTGCTTTGGGATAAGCATTGTCCAAAACAAGGACCAACCAGTGGCTAAATCTAATGGTTCTTGCAGTCAGTGGGAGTTTTTCTACTGACTTTGCCTAACACTGGATCCAAGTTTTTGACAGAGCAGAAGGCAATGTGCAGATAGGAATCGTGCATGGAGATTGCATGCTTGCTTGTGAAACTGCTTAAGACAAACTTTCTTTCTTTCTTCCTTCCTTATTTTTCTTCTATCACTTCTTTCTACAGGGAAAAGGTTCCCATCCACGTCTTTAGCCCCAAATACACAAAATTACGTGACTGGCACCATGAAGTCTCAGCACGTGTTCTTAATGTCCAGTGATTTTACCCAAGTTGCAAAAACAAAATTCAAACACTTCCTTCCTTTCTTCTTTTCCATCTGCTTTGCAAAAAGAAAAAGAAAACGTATTTCACTAGCCTTACTGCAAGACAAATTCTAGCCTTTTCTATACTTTTCTAACACTTTCCTACTGATGTGTAAAAAATGAGATGAAAATGTTTTTGTGCTAATCGCTAGTTGACAAAAAATACATATTTAAAACAGAACAACTTGGGTGACTGAATCTCCCAACATGGGGGAGGAGATGGCTGTTGCGGTTCTTTTTTTGCCTTAAAGGAGTCATTTGCATTGCTGAGTTTGAGTTACTGTAGGTTGTTAGAAAGCAGAAAATTATGAACAAAAGAATAAGAAATTGTATTACTTTGATTTTGGGGCTGGGGGAAGAAGACGAAGAGGGACTGTATGCACCTATTTCAAACGATTGTACTTACCAGGATAATTATCTTGGATTTCACTAGATTTTCAGCAGGTCAGTTTTAGAGTGGTTGTAAATGTTTTACAAAGTAGAGCAAAAAGGCAGACTGCTTTTAAGCAAATAAAAAATAAATTAAAAAACCAATTCCAATGTTACCAATCGAAGTGCAAGCTCAATATAAAGATTCTGCTGCTTAAACTAGTAATATGTTCATATTGTGGAAAACTTAGGAAAAAAAATGAGCAGAATATTGCTGTGTACCTGTAAGAGCTTCAACACATCCTCTAACAAGAACAAGATAATATGGTAGTATTTATTACAGAGTGAAGCTTATAGGCTTTCTTGTGTTTATAAAAGCTTCATGACCCTATGGTTCTCCTGTAAAATAATGTATTATAGTAGCTACACATTCATTAATTTATGCTTTCTGAAGCTTGAAGAGTATTTTAATAAAAGTTGCTTTTATCTTAGCTCTGTCTGTTTTTCTTTTGAGTCTCTCCGACTCCTTGAACAGTCTTCTCGTGCACGGAGCTGTAATTTCATTGCACCTTCACAGATTATAGTAAGAGAAACAAATCCCTGCTGTGTAGTAGAAACAATCGAATTGTACAAAACTATCACAGTAGTAGAGTTCCTGATCATGTTAAAAATGGGGTATGTGTTTGTGCTGTCAAAATCAACACGAGATTTGCAGAAATCAATAAAGTGGTTGATCTTTTGGGGGGCTACAGGAGTAAGAATTCTACTAAGTAAAACTCGGTCTTGGCTTTTGCAACGTGTGTTGAATCAGAGAAGTTTCAAACCTCAAAGGTGAATTGTAAAGCACCTATAAAAGCCCAGTCTTTCATAATTGCTTAATGAGAACCATTGCAATTGGCTTGTAGTTTGTGCAACTGACCTACATGCTTTTCTGATGGAATTGGTCCTGTGAACAGATTGATGCCCACTGCAAATGCTTCTGCAGACTTGGGGGGTTTGTTTTTTTTATTTTATTGCACGACTTGGAAAATTGAAAAGAAGAGACACCTTTGGAAGCATTTGAAGCTTGTTTCCTTTTCAGATGGTTTATACTGCTATACAGTACAGCAGTAGCTTATGGTATTTGTCATTTTATCTTTAGGAAAAGCCAAACAGAAAATGGAGACTTCAGGTAATAACCAAGTTATCTAACACTAACAGTCACCGATGTGGATGCCTAACAATGCACAGCATAAGTACAATTAGATTTGCACTGGTCATGATGGACCAAGGCATATCACATTTTACACACTTTTTGGGTTAACTCCTTAGGGACAGTAGGGGAAAATATTCACTTTAATAATGTCACTAAAGACTGTTTTGATGAGAAGTGCCAATCAGTTTGATTCCCCCCCCCCCCATGTAACTCGGTAGTGAGTATTGTGTTACTAAACCAAGTGTGTTACTGACTGCACATACACTACAGTATTATCATTTGATAGAATACTGCGTATTAAAGTAGGAATGTGAAGTAGTGTATTAAAATTGTTTTGCTGGGTTTAAAGAACTTTTTGTGAATGGAAAGGAAGACAGGAGTTTTAGATTACATCAGTGCAATGAAAACTATGAAAGGTTATCACTTAGACTGTCTAAGTTTTTTCTTCATATGGGCAGAATGGTTTGACCTTCAAATATTTTTATATTTTGGACATGTCCCTAGGTAATGAGAATCACTGGTATTTAACTTACCATTATGTTTATCTGTCTTACCAGCTCTTATCCCTTTGAAGTGTGAGTTGCTTTAGCGAGAAATGGAAGAAAAAGACTTTCTAAATAATCCAAAGTACAGAAGCCTCTGTACTAAATTAAAATTAAACATAGATAGTCATAGAGTCTATCTATTGAGGATATGAGACTAGTTTGAGAAAGGCTACCAAGATTTCCTGTAAATTAATAGTAACAAATTACTAGTTCCAAAAATGTTGTATGGACGTGTGAAATTAATTTCATTTACTGCTTTAAAGATGTCATCTCTTCACCCAATATCCCCATTGCACAACACTTGTTGATGTTTAATTTTGGACCTTGTTACTGTTTCCAAAACAATGGACTGCTTTTCCATTTGCATGTGGATAACATGCCCTAGCTCATGTCTGATTCCCAGCATACATCTGCTCTTTGAAAAAATACCGAGTGGGTTTTGGTATAAATGAATAAGCTTACATTTTTGAGATCACCTGGAAGGATGAATATGACAAACAATGAAATAGAAACTTCTCTTCCATCAGTAATCTGCAGATAAATATCCCAATTTAATAATATTCAACTTTTTAGGCAGGCATTGTCCAAGACAAATCCCTGTGGATTTTTTATTATTGTTTATCCCTAAACTGTAACCCACTAGGGATTTTTGTGTGGATAAAATAGATTTTTCTTTTCAGCAGCTGGAAAGACAGGAAATAGAAGTAGAAAGCCCTCACTGAAATGTGTAAATTGCAACTCTTAAGCCAGTTACTTAAAGCTTAGAAAGGCAAAGTCTAGCCTTTATGTAAAGTTTATGTGTGTTAGTAACTGATTAGTTCTAATTTTGCAGCACCCTGTTTCCAAGTATGTTTTAGATGTTCACTTTTAACCATCTCCTTTTGAGCAACCAGGTACAGATTTGGTTTTGGCCTTAAACTGTAGAGTCAGTTCACTGTCCTGAGTAAAGATGTGTTTAGATTTTCCAGATTTGTAGTTTAGCTAATCCATAGCCACTGGAAAATATTTGCCTCACTCTTGGTCAGTCCTGAAACAACCTGTCATAAATCATGTATTTATTTTGTTCCTCCCCCCCCCCATGTCATAAATATCTGTAAAGCATACCTGCAGATCTACCTAATGGAGCAGGAGCCCAGGATTCCTCTATTAATCTGAATAAAAACTCCGTAGCTACCCAGACTTTGGAGATGCCACCTGTACCAGAATTTCCTTCCACACCTTTACCACCTATGAGGTCTGCTCCCTCGTCATTCCTAAGTCTGTTCAATAATTTTCAGCTCTTAAGGCTCACTACTTTATTAAAATACTTAATTCTGCATGCTAATATTAAAAAAAAAAAAAAAGGCAGCAATGCCTACTCCTGTGGCTAATTAGTCTGCTCAAAACTTGTGGTTGTGATTGCTCTCTACCTCGTAGTTTACTTTTATTTTTATGTATTACAGTGAGATGTCTGACAGGTGCTTTTCTTCACGTAGAGGGCTTTAAGACAACATTTCGTAGATCTATTTTTTTTCCTATCACAACTGAAAAAAAGAAAGGATATTTCTTAATATTTTTTCCATATATAGTCTAACCTTCATAAAACTAACACCCTAAAAAAGTTGCAGCAAAAAGTGTATAAAACTTTGGGAGTGAATCCCACTAGCACTTGTGCCTGTTTCTTTTCCAGTATTTCCTAAAAGTTTCCATCACATAATGTAATACTAAATATATGTGTTCCGTCTTTGTAAACGTAAAATACTGCTTGGCTTTCTGAGTTTATAAGCAGCAGGACACTTCTCAACCTTCACTAAAAGCGTGACACTTCCTAAGTGTATTGTACCTCATTTTATCCCCCTATTTGTATTTTGCTGTAAACTTCCCTTTTTTTGTTTTGTTTTTCAATTTACTAACACTGTCATGCACAGTGTCTTCCATTCAGCATACTATTTCAATGTGGATTAAAAATCTCTTTCTCTGTGTGTCTCCATTTGGTTTTATTACTGTGAATGGAGTGAAAACGGTGCTAGACCAGAACGCGCAGCCGCTCTTTTGCCGATAGCAGAGTCCTCCCCTGGCAGTGTCCCCTCCCCCAGACTTTCTGAACACATTGCCACCGCAGCTCCTGGGAGGTAAATCATTCAGAGGGGGGTTCGATTCCGTTAACGATCTATCTGTATGTTGTTCTAGCCTAGATTTGTCTGTCTTGGGGGAGAGAGGGTTGTCTGTCATTCACTTAAAATAAACTTTATTAATCTGCGGTGACTAGGGATTTTCCTGGAAATGATAGGAGGGGGAAGGAGAAGAGAAATGAAATAAAGCTGAGCAGATTCATGAACGGTCTTGTGGGTACCAGTTAAAATAAGACACAATATTTAGTATGTGTCGGTATCTTGTCAGTGGGCGTCCACCCTATCACCCGGATGGAGTAACTTTTCAGTGGTCTCAACAGCTCAAAAGTGAATGCAGATTTCTTCAACACACAGAAAAATGCTTTTAAAAATATACTAAAGTTTTTTAAAAAGTGGATTATTTTGTTCATCACACTATGCTGTGCTATAATGCAATCAAAGAAAACTAGATGATTATCCAAGGTCACTGGCCTTGGATAGCTTCACCGGCACTTATCTTGGCAGATTGGTGATGTTTTGGAGGTCATCTATGGGTACCAGACAGCAACAGTAATTTTGGATGTAAGACAGTGACAGTAATTTGGAGGGTTATGATGCTATTATTGAAGGTCAGTAACATTTTCTGATGGTTTGTGTTTCATAGTGCAGGAGTGTTTTTTAATTCCAGGTAGCTAGTGTTCATTACATGTGCACAAGCACAAAGTTATAACACGAAACAAAGCTGCTCCTTTAAAAATGAGAGTTGAATGAACAGTGCCTGGTCCTGCCAGGCCCCTAGAAAGAGACTTGTCCTTGTGAAAAGCAGACAGGAATATACTGTTGCCCATACCTGTATGGGCTTTCTGCAACTAGAAATCTAATACTAAGATTTGGGATTGAGAGTTTCCCCTTTAAAGCAATAGTCTCAACCAGCTGAGAGAGATGAGGCGAAACCTCACAACAAAATATGTCAAGTCTATTTTGTTGCAATGTCTTTTGAAGGCTTTTTTGATGTCTGGGAGAGCTAACGTGAGGTTAGTTAGGAAGGGATGGTGGGTGATGACAGAGGTTTGCTTGGACAGCAGGCCAGTACCTTCATGGTAACCTTTGGTTTGAACCAACACAGAAAAGAAGATTTGGTTGTGATGGTTTCAGCAGCATGTTCTCTTAAATCCCAGGAAGCAGATGGGGTGAGTAGTTATGAGCCACCAAAGATGAAAAATACACACAAAAGGTGTAAGGCAATACTCATGGTGGTTTGTGTTTTTTTTTTTTTTTTAAAGCAGAAAACCTAGGATAAAAAAGGCAGGGGGAAAAAGTATTACTTCAATAATTGATTTTCGTGTCTACCAGTGAAACTCTAGTATGATTACACCTACTGAGCTGCAGATGCCTTGCAGATACTGCTACAACTACTGTGCTCTGAGTACCAAGGAGTTCTTTCTCAATCCTAGCTCTGGATCTGTGTCCAGGGAAAGGAAATTTAAATCTACTCTAACTCAAGACCTATGACTCTAAGTTTATTATTTGGCAAAATTAACCTAGCAAGAAAGCAGCTTTAAAATGAGCCACAGGAAATCTGAAAGGACAGCTACATTCATGGTGGTTCAGGATGAGAGCCGAAGTTTTTTGACAAATAGTCAAAAATGTAGATGATGAGTATTTTCTACTCAAGAAGAGCAGAAATCTGAGCAGCTTCTGTAGAGCTGTAGAAGGAAGGATTAGCATTGAGTGTGGGAAGGAGAACATAAATTATTTGACAAAGCTGTGTAGTCTTGATTCTCTCCTGAAATGAGGTGTCATCAGTGTAGCAATTATATTTGGTGCTTTATGTTCTGTTACTGAGCCGATGTCACTGCTTTTATAACACTTTCGGGTGGGAAATACACCCAAAGCTGATCTTCAAAACCCCTTTTTTATAAAATGGCAGCTATCAGAAATCCGTATGGAGCAATTGATGCATGCTATGTCAGACTTCTAGTAAAGCAGAATTGGGCCGTCCAAAGGACAGTAGACTTGCTTTTGCTGCTAATGCCCCACATTTGTTGTCGATGACTGGCATAGGTCTTTATTTTCCTACTGTGCTGTGTCTTT